AGGTGGGGGACAGGTGGTGTGGACAGGTGGGGGATGGGGCGGCTTGGAGGAGGTGTGGTGTGGACAGGTGGGGGACAGGTGGTGTGGACAGGTGGGGGATGGGGTGGCTTGGAGGAGGTGTGGTGTGGACAGGTGGGGGATGGGGTGGCTTGAAGGAGGTGTGGTGTGGACAGGAGAGAAGGCTGTGCCCATCTCAGGAAAAGGAACGTCAATGTTGCATCACGCATTGAATCTTTCAGGAAGGGAGGGAGGGAGGGAGGGAGCAGCCAGCAGGTAGGTTTGGGGCTGGTGCAGTCCCCGGCGGGGCTAAGCAGTCTCATTGCAACCACTCCTGGGTTACACGCAGGGTTTTTCTTGTGTTTCCAGGATGAGTTGGATCTCACCGACAAAAACCGGGAGGCCGTCTTCGCGCTGCCTCCCGAGAAGAAATGGCAGATCTACTGCAGCAAGAAGAAGGTGCCGCGGCTCGGGGTCCAGGGTGTAATCACGCACTCTTTCAGCAGCAGGTCTCGTGCCCCAGCTCCCTTCTGAGACTGGCGGAACCACAGGAAGGAACGGGAAGAAGACCCCGGGGGCACGCACACAGGGAGCCGGGCCACACTTGGGAGCAGCTTCCTCCGAGGAAGCCAGTGGGAGCAGTGGGCTAGGGTCTTCCTGTGGGTCTTTAGCCTTTACTCTGTCCCAGGTAGGGGTCACGCACAGGTCCTCTCTTATTCCTGTCAAGGGACCATGGTCTCCTGACTGTGGTCCTCCCTGCGGCATGCTAGGCTCTGGGTTATTTTTGTTTTCTTGAGACACGATCTCGCTGTATGTTTTAGGCTAACCTTGAATCACCATGTGCGGCCCAGGTTGGCCTCAAACTTGCAGCGATCCTCCTGCCTCAGCGTCCCAAGGGGCTGAAGGAGTTTCCTCTCCTCTTTCAGCTTCCTTAGCAGTGTAAGCCCATTTGTAGCTCTTCTCTTGCGCCCTTCTCTTGTGGCAAGAGGTAGGGGTTGTACAGGTTGCAAGCTGTTGTCTAGTGTCATAAGGCACCTTCGTGAAGCGCTGACACAATGCAGTAAAGTAAAATTCAAAAGTAATCCCGTCTTTCACGTTTCTACTCTCCACGTTGATTTCTGTGGGGAACCCTTAAGTTAGTGACTTCTGTAGCAAAAGTAAAAGACTTACGAAAATATAAAGGCATCTTACTGTTTTTCAAACTAAACTGTGGAGGGATTTTTCCACGGACTCTGACACTGTGCTCCCTTCCCGCGTGGATTTTCTCCGTCTCTAGCATTTTTTTCTCCTGCGGTAGCCTAAATAATCCTCAATAGCGCAGTCCTAGTCTGCTCCTGCCCCACCCCCGCCTCCATGTCGGCCCCTATTCATGTGAACAGGCCCATCACAGAGCACTTATCCCTTCTTTTGGAGCTGGAGTGCTATAGCCAAGGCTGAGACCATGAGTTTTTCCTTAGCACTGAGTGATTGGCACTTAGTAGGTGCTCATTAAAGGCTCAGGAGCTGGATAACAGTGAGCAGCCAACACAGGAAAGTGTCCGTGCTGATGTGGTTGCTTTTGGCCCTGTGATTCTCTCCCCAAGGCAGAAGACAGGACAAGCGGCCCTCGGTCGTGGTGATCTGAACACATAAAGCCCTATGAAGGCACAAAGACCAGAACAGGGAGGCTTTCCCTCTGCTGTGAAGCGTGGGTTTTATGAAACAGAATAGTGAAGCTTGTGTAGACAGAGCTGAGGGCCGAGGGGCTCCCCCAGAGGGTGTGGGTGAGGTGGGTCTTGGTGCTGACCGGCTGAAAGCATGTGAGGGTGGTGTCCTGAGGGATAGGAAGGTGCAGGAGGAGGTTCATGCAGGGTACAGGTCTACTTAGACAGGTTCAGTTGGCACTGGAAGCCCTGAACTGCCTCTACTCCTGCCCATGCCAGGGGAGGAGCTATGCGTCCTTTTGGGGACCTCTTAACCCTCCTACCTCCCAGCTGCTCAGGAAGAAGAGACAGTGGCTATGTTATAGCCCCAGGCCTTCGCCAGGGCTCAAGGCCGCAGGAGTCTGTCTGTCTGTCTCTTTCTTTTTCCTAGTTGCTAGGTAGTTATCAGGACCTGCTGTGTACCTGGCACTGCCCCTAAATGCTTCCTGTTAGCTAGCATTCTTCAGCTGTTTAATACAAGAGTGATATCAGGAAAATGAAAAGTGTCTAACATAAATGGACAAACTTGTATTGGACTCAAACGCCATACAATTATATTTTACTAAGTGCAAGCAGAACAAATAGTAAGCCGGAGTGCAAGCTGGAGAAAAGACTATTTGAAAAACTGTCCCTGCTGTCCACTGCAGATGGACACCTGCCCAGCTCCTGCGCATCCTGCTGCCTGCTCTGAACGTTCGTTTATCCAAGCGTGTAGCCCAGGACGAAATGGAAGCCTGGGGCGTTTACCCCTCTGCTCAGGCCGCCCCCTGTGGGTGGGCTGGGAACTGCATCCCTCTGCTGAGTGAGTGGATGAAGCCGAGTATCGGCCTGGGGCCTGCCTTGCCACTTGGGCCAGCCCCACTTTCTTCCTATTCCAGGAGCAGGAGGACCCCAACAAACTGGCGACCAGCTGGCCCGACTACTACATTGACCGCATCAACTCCATGGCTGCGGTGAGTGGCCGCTTCTCTCCTGTCCTGGCTTTACAGAAAAAGTCCCCAGGGGCTATGGTGTGCCCCATCTGGATGTCACACAAGCTTTGGAAACAGATTCTCCCCATTTCCCAGATGAGGAAACTAGAGTCCTGTCGCAGAACCCGGGTCTGGTCAGAGTCCGACACCATTCCCCGAGGCCCCACCCTTCGTGAGGCCAAAGTGACCCCTGAGTCACACTGAAGGCAGGAGGGAGATGGGTGGCCCGGAGTGACCTCTGCCGCCTTTCCCCGTTACCCCTGCAGATGCAGAGTCTGTACGCATTTGATGAGGAGGAGACAGAGGTGAGAAACCAG